TAGTCGTTTCTTGAAAATAGCGAGTGACTCTGCTGTTCTGATGCAGTTAGGGAGTTCATTCCACCAACTGGGCAGATTGAGCGTGAGCGTTCGCGAAAGTGATTTTTTCCCTCTTTGGGATGGAACCACGAGGCGACGTTCATTCACAGAACGCAAGTTTCTGGAGGGCACATAGATCTGCAGAAGTGAGTGCAGATAAGAAGGTGCTAGGCCAGAAGTCACTTTGTAGGCAAACATCAGAGTTTTGAATTTGATGCGAGCAGCAACTGGCAGCCAGTGCAAACGGACTAGCAGTGGAGTGACATGTGCTCGTTTAGGTTCATTGAAGACAACTCGTGCTGCTGCATTCTGGAGCAGTTGAAGAGGCTTGATAGAGTTAGCTGGAAGCCCAGCTAGTAGAGAGTTGCAGTAATCCAGTTTGGAGAGAACAAGAGCTTGAACAAGGAGTTGAGCTGCATGTTCAGATAAGAAGGGTCGGATCTTTCTGATGTTATAGAGTGCAAATCTGCACGATCGAGCAGTTCTAGAAATGTGGTCAGAGAAGTTTAGTTGGTCATCAATCGTTACTCCAAGGCTTTTCACCATTTTGGATGCAGTAATGGTTGCCCCATCCATCTGGATTGAAAAGTTATGGTGTAGAGTCGGGTTGGCAGAAACTACAAGCATTTCCGTTTTTGCGAGGTTCAGCTGAAGATGATGATCTTTCATCCAGTGTGAAATATCCAACAGGCAGGCTGAGATACGAGCTGGAACCGAGGGATCATCAGGATGAAAAGAGAGGTATAGCTGGGTGTCATCAGCATAGCAGTGGTAGGAGAATCCATGTCTCTGGATGACTGGTCCTAGAGATGATGTGTAGATGGAGAAGAGAAGTGGCCCAAGAACAGAGCCTTGAGGTACCCCAGTGTTTAGATGCTGTAGGTTGGACACCTCTCCCCTCCAAGACACCCTGAATGACCTGTCAGAGAGGTAAGATCTAAACCATTGTATAACAGTGCCCGCAACGCCCAGTGACTCAAGCGTAGATAGCAGGATCTGGTGGTTGACAGTGTCAAAAGCAGCTGACAAGTCCAGCAAAATGAGGACTGATGATTTAGAGTCTGCTTTAGCCAGTCTGAGATCCTCCACGACCGAGAGCAGGGCAGTCTCAGTTGAGTGGCCTTTCTTAAAGCCGGATTGCTTGTTGTCCATGAGATTGTTTTGAGTAAGAAAGTCCAGGACTTGATTGAACACTACTTTCTCCAGAATCTTGGCCATGAATGGAAGCAGGGATACTGGTCTGTAGTTTTCAAGTAGCGTATGGTCCAGGTTGGGTTTCTTTAGCAGTGGGGTTACCCTAGCCTGCTTAAATGTAGTGGGGAATAAACCAGAGTCAAGAGATGTGTTAATTATGTGAGTCAGTGTTGGTATGACTGCAGGAGAGATGGCTTGCAAGAGATGAGAGGGAATGGGATCGAGTGGACAGGTGGTTGCATGGCTAGATAGCACAAGTTTGGACACCTCAGACTCAGAGAGCTGAGAAAAAGAGGTGAGTGTGTGTGGTGTTGGTGTTGTATCTTGCGTGTTTGTTGTAGGTGCAGCAAATTGAGCACTGATTTTTGCAGTTTTGGTGCAGAAGAATGTAGCAAAGTCATCAGTAGTAAGTGTGGAGGATGCGGGTGGAGGAGGAGGATAGAGGAGGGAGGAAAATGTTTTAAAAAGTAGGCGAGGATTAGTGGCATTGTTGATTTTCAGACGGTAATACGTCTGCTTTGCAGAAGTAACCTCAGCTGAGAAAGAGGACAGAAGAGTTTGGTATGTTAAGAGGTGTGCAGGATTTTTAGTTTTCCGCCAAATTCTCTCTGCAGCCCGAAGTTTTGAGCGATGCTCACGGAGAGCATCCGAGAGCCAGGGTGCAGGAGGACTGGCACGGGCTGGCCTGGATGCAAGAGGACATAATCGGTCTAGACATGATGCTAGTGTGGAGCAGAGTGTATTAGTGGCACTGTTCGAATCAAGTGCAGTGAGTTTGCGAGATGGAGGAAGAGAGTCTGAAACAATGGTGGATAGTCTATTGGGTGAGAGAGATCGTAGGTTTCTGCGAAAGGTAACCAGTGTTGGAGTGTGTGGCGGCTCAGGAGTAATGTGGATGTTGAGAGACAGAAGGAAATGATCAGATATTTGTAGTGGAGTTACTATTGTTTGATCAGTGAAGCAGTGTCGTGTGTAAATAAGGTCTAGCTGATTACCTGATTTGTGGGTAGCAGAAGTAGGTGCTCTTTTTAGGTCAAAAGAGGCAAGCAGAGTCTGAAAGTCTGCAGCTTGCGGTTTGTCAACGTAAATGTTGAAGTCACCTAGCACCAATAAGGGAGTGGCAAAATTAGAAAAAGATGAGAGAAGAACATCCAGTTCATCTAGGAAGTGACCTAATTTACCTGGTGGGCGGTAGATGACAACCACATTTATGTAGAAGGGGTGGATAATGGTGACTGCATGGAATTCAAAGGAGCTGATTGTTGGCAGGGACGGTATCAGAGTAAATTTCCATTCTTTGGAAATTAGTAGTCCAGTCCCACCCCCTCTCCCTGTCTGACGAGGAGTGTGGGAAAAAGAGAAATTAGCAGAAAGAGTAGCATGTGTAGCAGTGTCCTCCGGCCTCAACCAGGTCTCAGTTAGAGCCATGAGATTATAGTCAGAATATGTAGCTATGGAGGTAATAAAATCTGCCTTGTTAACAGCTGATTGACAGTTCCAGAGGCCCACGGAGAGAGAGAGTTGTGAAATAGCAGATACATGTATTGAACGAAGATTGTGAGGATTACGCCTGCAGCGTACCTCCCGTGTTTTGCGAGTGTTAGTAACAACAGGAATTAGAAGACACATACTAAAAGTGCACTGACAACAAAAGATAAAGTAAAAAAAGAAAGTAAAGTACTCAAGTGCTTTGTCGGTGTCTTTGCTCGGTGGAGTCGCGCAGGTAGAGTCGATGGTCTTTACCCTCGTCGGTCTTCACACGAGGCGGTCTTCACACGAGGCTGCCGCGACCGCTGCCGCGGTGAACTAGTTGTTTATATAACCCCTAAAGCACTAGCTGATTGAATTCAGCTGGACACGCCTCGAGAGTCAAAACAAGGGCCGAAACTGAGGCGGACGACGCGAACCGCGTCTGCGTTCGCTACACAAGCTCTTATAGTAACCAAGGAAACAGTGGCTAAACAACTTCTAGTATTATACACAACCGAAAGCAAGTTTAAATGTCCTACAACTTTACACAAACAGCTGGAAACAAGTCCTCAAACCATACACAACAACTGAAACAAATCTTAAATGTACTTACAGGCTGCTGTTCAAGATGCTGCTAAAGTGCTTCTCCTGCCGACTAATGCTACCGTGCTCACTATATAGTGGTTACCTGGCGTTTGGACACGCCTCCCGAGTCAAAACAAGGGCCGAAACTGAGGCGGACGACGCGAACCGCGTCTGCGTTCGCTACACAACGAACTTTCTTTCTTTTTTTCTTTAGATATCTCGTTTCTTATTACTTTTTTATTCTAATATAAATGTCATCAACAGCTCCCAACAGTTACAGATTCAGAAAAACCAATAAAGGTAGCATAACTGCTCCCGATAAAACTTTTAGGTTTTCTAAAGTGAAAGGCTCAGTCAAGAAAAAGTTATTTGTAACAGTATTTACAACATCCTAGAGTCTGGATTTTGCTTCTTGTCACATAATGATGGATGATCTCAAACTCATGGGTTGCTGCAACCATAAAAAAATCTAAAGCTGCCAGCTCACATGTTTGTCTCCACACATAGATCCGTCTGCATCAGCAAGCTCATGCTCCAGATAGTTGTAAATACCCCCAGGATTGTTTTCCATGACCATGGATGAAAAGTAATAATGTTGTAAATAATGTTTTGTTTCTTGCACAGAAATACTGCTTCACTTCACAAGACTTCAGCGTATTGCATGAGTCACTTTCTTTCTTTCTTTCTTTCTTTCTTAAATTCTCAAAGTTTAATTAGACTTTCATTTTATGAATGAGAAAGGACCACACTTTCAGCTTAAAATCGTATTTACTATTCTAATGAAGAAATAAGGATATCTTGTATAGTATGTGAGTGATTAGATTAACAACATTTCTTTATATTTAAGTGAACAAACTCTTTAATGTATTATATATTCAGACATGGCTGTGTATGCTTAAATGTATTTTAGCTTTGGTTTTGCTTGTTGAGTTTTTATGTTTGTTTATTTTGTCTTGTAAATTTTCTTTACCATTCTTTAGTGACAATAATACTAAAATCGGTCAAGATTATGTTGAAAAATCAATGTCTAAAGATCATTTTCATTGTTCAATGTATGTGAAAACATATTTTACAGCAACAGACTTTATTGCCACAATAGACTTTATTAAATATATATTCAATTACTAAATAGTTGTTAGTATTTGCATAAAACTCAAAAAATATTAGTATGCATATATGTTTACATATAATGTAACGTTACAACTCAAAGCAAAAGATAAGATAACTCTTGTATAATATAATATAATATAATATAATATAATATAATATAATATAATATAATATAATATAATATAATATAATATAATATAATACCACATTAAAGCTAAAGCAGAAAATGAGTGAATTTGTGCGAGGCGATGGTGCGGTGGGATGCTGTTGCTGCTCTACGGAAACACAAGCGCACTGAGCCGCAAGTGCACATTTAAAGGGGTACAACAACAACGCTGTCTTTGTATACATTAGAGTTTGTCGAGGCGTTTATAGCGCTCGATCACCATCCAGCCGCCTTTTCTTTGCGCGACGGTATTATACGGACAGTTTGGGAGTTAAAAAGATGGATTGAGCGTCAAAGTACGGCCTATAATTCAAACATTTTGGGTCTATTTCTTTCCGAGGCGGCTCGGTTGTCCTGTCGTCTCTGTTGATCTGGAAACGGCCGCCATCTTGAATTTTAATGTAATATTTTCGAACAGTTTTCCGGCAATGTGACATTTTTGGAATTGCATTGGACTTTGATGATGGATAAGGCTTGAGCCAGAAGGAAAAACGTGAGTATTTAAGCTAGATCGTCGATTCAGTATCCGACTTCACTCTTGCACAGGGCTGTTCCGGGTGTCGCCTAGCAATCGCAGTTAGCCGCACATTAGGCCCGGTGTGATGCTTCTTTATTTTCGGTTAATGTCAGTATCTATAAAAATGTGCGTAGAAATAATACTTATCCTGCACCAACATGCTCTTATAATAGTTATTATGATGCTGGAACATTTACCTAGAACTCTGTTTTAGAAATCGATGTTCTGCCGGTTCGGCAAGTCTCATTGTTTTGTTAGCTCGATGCTAAGCTAGTTAGCATATATCAAGTGCTTTTTACTGCTAATTTAGGGTGTTAGCCTTATGGAACGCAACATAACTCGTTGATTCGCACTTTAAAACATCAACGTTGCTTACAGTTTAAGTAAAGCTATAATTTGATGTGTAACCCTAAATCCGCGTGTTAATGTGGTTTGTGTGGGGATTTAAATGCACCGTCGCTAATATGGGAGTGTTTAAGCCACTACGGGGAAGTGCATTAATGTAACAAATCAGTGATATTTGTGCATACTATCAATTTTAGAAAATGTTGGTTTATTCGAGACGTCATTTCCAACACCATGTCGATTGAAATTTCTACGTTTGTGGGTAAAACCGGGCAGCTTATCTTATTTCCAAAAGTAGCCACGTGGTGGCGCTATGCACCTAAGAATAATTTAAAAGTAATCATCTCAAACATTTGAAGTGAATTCATAGTTCATGGCATGCTGGTAATGAAATGAACCTGTACTGTTTGTGTTGAAGTTGTTGAAGTATTATTGGCAATATAATCATATCAAAAGTACATTAAACAACGTTTTTTTTTTTTTGAACAGGTGAAGTCAAATCTAAAGAAACAATTAAAGACGACAGATCTGACCTTATTCCCATTGTACCTGTCGCTGTCTTGTTGAATGGTTTCTCACAAGCACACAGAAGCTCAATGCGCCTTCTCCATACCGCCAGCTGGTATGAAGTAGATGGGAGAATCCAAGAACATGGTGCTGAATGGCAGGAGACATGGCAGAAAGTTCTCCAGTAATCAGCCCGTAAGCAAATCCAGGCTGCAAAACACACAGAGATCCCATCTTCGCCAGAACAAAGGCTCCCCGAGTGTCAGAAGATGCAGTCGACGTAAGTTCATAAAACAATTTATTGTATTTTACCAGTAGTTAGTTTTTCTATTAGTTATTCATGTCAAATGTTCAAACAGGTTGTGGTGGGGCGCCCCCGGAGGCAGAAAGGCGTCATGTTCCTTCATCGGGAATGACTGCCAAGGAGTTGTGCGAGTATGATGATCTGAGCACCAGTCTGATCCTGGATCCATACCTTGGCTTTCAGACCCACAAGATGAACACCAGGTTTGTGCTTGGTGAATTTGAAAATGGTATTTTACAGTTAACAAGAGTTTTTTTATTTATTTATTTTTAATACATATATTTTTAAGGTTTCGACCAATCAAAGGCCGGCAGAGGGAGCTGAGGGAGATCATTGAGCTTTTCAAGAAGCATGACAACCTGGAGAAAGCTTTTCAGGCTCTGACATCTGGAGACTGGACCAGACATCATTTTCTCAACAAGACCAAGTCCCAGGAGAAGCTCTTCAAAGCACATGTAAATTTTAGCTAATGAATATTTAACTTTAATTAAAATTTTTCTTTACCTTTCCTGGGTTAAATATGTTTACAAAAATTTAAATATCATCTAAATTACTGCATATTAAGGAGGCTTGTTTGTTTAATGCAAGATTAATAATTTATAAAATTTCTATAATTACTTTAATGTTAATGTTTTATTAATATTACCATTATTTTATATTTAATTAAAATAAATGTATTATTTATACACATTTGCTGTGTTAAATTCAATTTAAAAAAACAAAAGCCAAAAAAAATGTTAAATTAAAAATGTAATCAATTAAAATCAGTATTAACATTTACTATTAAAATTACTCGTTTACTATATTTAAAGTAACAATGCAACAACTTTAAAAGTAAAGCATTTTAAATATATAAATATTTATGGGTATTTTCTAGGAACAAAATAAAATATAAATGCATTATAGATCTTATAACATTAAATAATATAAATGTTTTACATTTTAAATGTAATGTCAGAATTATTTACATTTACAATTTTTAATATTCATTTATATATTGTTTTATATGTTTATTTATAAAATGCAATATCAGCAATAAATATTAGTTTTTTTCTCTTTCATATTTCGACAGGTGTTTGTTTACCTTCGCATGTTTGCTTCAGACAGCGGCTTTGAGATCCTTTCTTGCAATCGCTACTCCTCTGAGCAAAATGGAGCCAAAATTGTAGCAACAAAAGATTGGTGAGTTAACACTATATATATATATATATATATATATATATATATATATATATATATATATATATATATATATATATATATATATATATATGTGTGTATATATATATATATATATATATATATATATATATATATATGTGTGTATATATATATATATATATATATATATGTATATATATATATATATGTATATGTATATATATGTATATATATATATGTGTATATATATATATATATATATATATATATATATATATATATATATATATATGTATATATATATATATATGTCAAATTGTCAACTTCATTTGCTGCTGGTTTTCATCATATGCTTTTTATTTGCACATTTCAGGAAAAGGAATGATAAAATCGAACATCTTGTGGGCTGTATTGCTGAGTTGTCTCCCAGTGAAGAGCGGATGTTGCTTCGACATGGAGAGAATGATTTCAGTGTCATGTACTCAACGCGCAAAAACTGCGCACAGCTCTGGCTGGGACCTGCAGCTTTTATTAACCACGGTTTGTCTCTTCTAGATTCTGATCAATATGATGTGATCAATAAAAAATTTCCAATTATCATATGTTGTCCTTAATAATAAAAATATTAATATTATTATTTTAATTTCTTACAGATTGCAGGCCAAACTGCAAGGTAAGTACATGTGATTGGACTCTGCTTTCTCAATAATGAAGATTAATGAGGAATGGAAAATACAGTTTTGCTGATGTGTGGCATTTGTTCCAGTTTGTGTCAACAGGCCGAGATACCGCCTGTGTAAAGGTTCTACGGGACATTGAACCAGGGGAAGAGATCTCCTGCTACTATGGAGATGGATTCTTTGGAGAAAACAATGAATTCTGTGAATGCTATACTTGTGAAAGGTATCATGTGCTGCATTCCTTTAGTTTCTCGGGTTTCTTTGTGTGTTGTTGGTGGGAATTAGAAACAGCAATTCATATCATATTTTTAAATAATTATGCAAAGAAATGGTTTGTTTTGACATGCATATGCTTGATGTAGAAATTAATATGCAAATATGAATATGTAAAATTCAGCACTCTTTACACTTTAAAACATTTTCTTGTGTATGATGATAATGATGATGATAATATTAATACTAATAAAATGCCATGTTTTTATACACCCTTATGTTTTAATTTTTAGCCAGTGTTTGAACTTAGTGAGTTAAGATAATAAAAATTTGATAAAAAAAAATCATAGGTTGTGACCAAAAAAAGTGCTTTTCCATCAAATTAAAAGTTGTCATTTTTTAATAAATAAATAAAATTAGGAAGAAAATTCTAATAATATAATAAATCAATAGAAAATAAAAATTCAAGTGGTCTCTTCATTTTTTTCCCACCAAACCTGTATGAAATATATTTGGCAATAGTGTTTATAAGCATAACCTTGTTGCTTTATTTTGATATATAATCTATTTGGTATTATACACTGTCACATAATTGGATCGAATAGTCATCTATTAAATGACATTTTTAAATGAAATATTTATGTTTCAGGCGTGGCACTGGAGCTTTTAAATCGAAACCAGGGTTACCTGTTGAAGCTCCAGTGATCAATAGCAAGTACGGCCTCAGAGAGACAGACAAGCGTCTGAACAGACTGAAGAAGCTGGGGGAAAGTTGCAGGAACTCTGACAGCCAGTCTGTCAGTTCCAATGCAGAGGCAGACTCTCAGGAACCAACCACTGTACAAACATGTGAGAGACCTGTAATACCAGACGTTTGATGCTAATAATACTGTTACGGCTCAAGCTCATCATTTCTTTTCTCTTTCTTTCATGTTTCTCCAGCATTACGTAAGAGAACTTCACAGTCCTGTGTCAAAAAGCACGGAGAAGCTAAGGCTGTAACAAGGCAAACTCTGTCAAGCACTCCTTCTTCTACCTCATCCTCTAAACGAAGTCAAGCGAATATTTCAAGTTTACCAAAGAGACTTAAGTCAAAGCCCACACAGACTTTGTCTAAAGGAAGACGACGCTGTCGAGGCCTATGGACGAAAGGTTCTAGCCGAGTGAGCGCTAGCGGAAATCTCAAAGAGTCCTCTAGACGAGACACAGACAGACGTAGATCTGCAAGCAAAGGCAGTGTTGCGCGTTCATCAGAAAACAATCGGAGCTCTTCAAAGGGTGCTTCCCCATGCAAGGACAGCACACTTTGCCCTTACAGAACTCGTAGGTCCACGAGGACTTCTCTTGGTGCTCAGGGGGCTGAAGGCACAGAGGCTTCAAACCACCCGGCGAGCCCGAGCATCGTCCTCAAGTCAGAGCCTGGAGAGTTCATTCCTGTGACACTTGGGCACCAGATGAGCACTCCTAGTTTGGACTCCAGCTGTCCCAAGAAAGGGACTTGTCCTAGACGCAGAAGGACAGTAAAACAGGAAGACTCCTACGGCGAGTCCTTCGTCCAGGAGGGCGTTCCAGATCTGCGGCACGCGGTTCGGGCTGCAGATGTAGCAGACTGTGGGAAGGTGGTGCTCGGCCTTCCAGACCGCCACCAGCACTACAACGGCTCCTCTAAGAGCAGCAAGGCCCTCCGTCGAGGGAAAGGCAAGAAGAAACGACAGATCACACGCTATGACGCTCAGCTGATTCTGCAGAATAACTCAGGCATCCCCAAGATAACACTACGCCGGCGTCGAGACAGCAGCAGCAGCAAGAATGAGCCCAGAGAGACCAGCTCCTCAAGCTCCTCCAAAATCAGCATCAAGTTCAGCAAGGAGCACGAGAAGGACCGGAGCAGCTCGTACGTAGCCAAACTCAACAACGGCTTCAGCCACGGACCGCACAGCAGCTCCACCAAGCTCAAGATCCAGCTGAAGCGGGAGGAAGACCCCGCCAGCTTGCACCGCACTTACCCGGAGGACGTCACCTTGGGCATCGTGCAACGAGACGCTGCGGACGTCCTGGATCACAAGGCAGCCGCTCAGGTAGGTCAGGACATGGAAGTGGAATCGATGTCGTCAGAGGACGACGACGATGACTACTTTGATAACGAGGATGATTTCATCCCGCTCCCACCAGCAAAACGCCTGCGCCTCATCGTGGGCAAAGATTCCATAGACATTGACATTTCCTCCAGACGGCGAGAAGATCAGTCGCTCAGACTCAACGCATAAGCTGTGTAAATAATCCATTGTCTCAATCATGTTCATTTTGAACAGATGTAATTTAAATAGAAAATGCAAATGTACAATTAAATCATGGCAAAGTATCTTTCTTTACATTTTAGTGATGGCACTTCTTTATTGTTTCCTCACTATGAATATAAATATTGTAGAAAGTGTACAGGTTATGTCTGAATTCTATCCACGTCTGATAACGTGCAAATGTTTGTTAGCATTCTGTCTAGCTTAACCATTCTATTCCGTAAACCTCTTGGCTTTCGTTTGCAAGACGTTAATCCACTTGGGAAACATATGCATGGTTTCACCTCTAAAGGTTGACACTTCATATTTCAACAACCGTGTTCCCATGCACAAGAATCACATGTCTTGCTCCTCAGCTTGATCTGGCTAAAGGGAATCGTTGAACAAACGGCGTGTAAAGGAGCTCAAATTTATACAGATCGTTCCGCTTTTTTTTGTGTATCAAAATCCTTTTTATCATGTGTCAGATGTTTTGGCCATGGAGGGCCATGGTGCTCAATGTGGTGGCCTGGTGCTGGTCCATTAAGATATTGGACGATTGAATTATTATTCTGTGAACGTCAGACCTTTTTTGTGTGACCTTGGAAGTCCATAAAGAAGTGTGCCTACGGATAAAAGTCCTCAAGAGATGAGTTGTGCTGAATCGTCATCAATCAAGAATCTGTTTTCCCGAGTCATGGTCATTGTGGTATTCAGTACATCAAATTGACTGTGGCTTTGTGTGCATTTTGTGCTCTGCCTAAAAAAAACGTTATAAAAATGGACAAAAAAAATGCTAAGGTATTCAAAGCTGTTGTTTGTGTTTCCATTGTTGATCCTCTAAGTAGGCAGCTGCCATGTTAGGCTATTATTATTTGTACCTTTTTTTCCACTTTTCATTTGCATTGCATACTTTACATTCTGTAGTGTCAAAAGTCTGCCATCTGTGGGCTTAAAGAAGTTATCAGCTTCTTATCCTAACGATCACAAAACTCCTATGGTCTCAAGCTTACAAACTGACTCTTAAGAGCATCATGACAGTAACAATGTAGGATGTATACATAATCTGGGGGCATACTGTTCACTCTGTATATTCTGGGACTTGTTTTTATTTAACTGTTTTAAGTACTTGAAAACTATAAAAATCATTTTCAAGATATTTTCTGGTCTAATGTCGTTATTAGATGTATCGTGTGGTTTCAGGCTGTTTGGTTACATACCCTGCAGTTCTTAATGGCGATGATGTGTTGGATTTGAGAGTACCATTAAATCCAAGCTGAATGCATTAATCTAATTATTACACACACACACACACACTTGTGTGTGTGTGTGTGTGTGTGTGCGTTTTGCTTATAACAAGGAAACCAACAAGCATGCTCTGGGGAATGTGTAGGACTAGATATTTTCTCTTAAAATCACATGCAAAGTTGGGCATTCATTTGTGCTTTTTTTCAGTAGTGTTTCCGATTCTGGCCTTCATGAACCACATTTAACATTTTGTATGCATTAACACACCTGATTCAGGAGCTAGGAATGGTTTTAAAACTTTATAGAGGCCCCCCTCGTTACAAACCCATTTTCTTCCAGGTGTCTTTTTTCATGGGTTTAAACAGCTAATATTCAATTCAAGTTTATTTGTACAGGACTTTTTTATATATAAACAATACTTACTGTTTCAAAGCAGCTTTACAAAAGGTGCACTTTATTACATTACAATCAAATCAAGGTAAAGTTACAATCAAATATAGTTTATTATATACAGACATCAATAACCTCAGTACCCTGAATTAATATCCAGGGTATATCTCTGCATCTGTCCACCTAAAACCGCCCACATAACTAGACAATTTGCTACTGGGATTTTAATTGGTTTTCATCACTCTTTTTCTCTACAACATCTTTTGGCTATTTAATAAAATTGCAAAATACTGTTTCATTTGCCGTGTTATTTTCAAACAAATGGCGGCCATACAGTGTTGTTCACACGTGATTTTGTGTTCATTCCTGCTGCGTTCCCGTTATGGCCATGTGACCATAGAAGACCACTGTCTGGAGTCGGGAATTGCACATGGTGCAGAGACGTGTGAAAGCACACGTCTGAACCGCAATACAAACGCCCCTTTAGTTTTAGGTATCAGAATTTAGGATAAGAGTAAACCAGGCTTAATTTATGGAACAAACTACACATTGTCCACTAAATTATGCATTTGATAAATCCAACAAAAAGTGTTCGTTAAAAAAGGAATGTAATTTTTTAATAAGGCTACACTAAACAAATAATAGTAACTTTATAATATAAAATATATATGTAGCCTAACTTAATTTGCATGTGTGTCCTTGGCTTTATCACTTGTGAAAATCAATGTTTTACAAAAAAAAAAAAAAAACATAAACATGTTCATTATTACTTATTTATGTATCAAGTTCATCTTAGGTCAGACAAAATATAGCTACACATAATATTGATACATACTGTATATATACGCACAAGAAATTATCAGGAAAACATAATTATACACTAAATAAGTATATAAATAAAATGTAAAATACCACATATATAAACAGATTTACAAACATTAGATAACATTAAAATAATAGTAAAAACAAACAAAAGAATAAATAAATAAATAAATAAATAAATAAAATAATATAAATATAAATAAAATATAAATACATAAATTATACAAAGAAATTAAAGGAAAAGGGGCAATTAAGATATAGGTGTCTCCCTAAATAAATTAGAAAACGGCTCCAGACTTTCTGGAACTGTTCAGGCCGTTGATTGTTGCGAACCGAATCTTTTCTATTTGAAGAGCATGTAAGAAATCAAAAACCCGTTGACGATAAGAACAAGAGCCATGGTCACAGTTTAATGGTAACCATAAATTACCCACGGTTTTGCTACACTAACCATATTTAAACCATATTTGTAGATACACTCTGGTTGTCCAACTGGTAATCAGTCTGACAAAAAAGTGACATTGTCGTGTAGGATAAGTAAACCCAATGTCTTGATTTGAAGAATAATAAACTTATTTTAAACCAGTCAAATTAATTTTGATCGTTTTTGTTATTTTTTTGTTATTATTATTTATTTCTTTTGAGATAAGCTATGGAAAAACATGTATTGCATTTGTATTATGAAAGTTGTAGGCTGTCGGTTTTCAACGTTGTTTAAAATAACTTCTGCTGTGATCAACAGGAAAACAAATTCAGAAAAATTTGAACCACTTCAAGCCTGAGTGATGAGAGAACTTTCACTCTGGATGAACTCCCTTTAATCTTTAATCTTATTTATCAGCATTACCCCCCCCCCCCCCCCAAGAATCTAGTATTATCAAAATACAAAATAATCTGTAAAACTGACGACTTTTTTCTTTTTGTAACTATAATAATGCCCTGTTTTAAAATGTAGGCTATACATTAGCCTACTTAATTTGCAACTCTGTAACAAAAACAGTATTTAAGAAAAATAAACACAGGAAACACATCAAAACTCACATCATTAAACTGGAAATGCACGTTTCACAGATTTACCCACATGTAACACACACGCACACCAAGGCTGTGATCCTAATCTGCATTTCTCTGGCTTTGTTTATCGCTGTCGCAGGGCGAGCTCGGAATGAAGGGGACGTGACTCCGCTGTCCAATCAGAGAGCAGAATGGGTGTGGTCCGGTGACGTGAGGTCAAACCCACTCCACTTCAACATATTGCGCACGAATAAACGGACCTGAATCAGTGTGCTCGTTATCATCTTGCGTACAGTCATATACAGTATTTCATAAAGTGTCCCCGTTAAATCTGCGTTTAGCATAACTGACAATTGCACAGAGAGTCTACGACGCAATTTATTGCCATATTTGAATTATTTACGTGATCAGTGACCAAGAGCAAACATGAAGACTAAATTCATCAATGGCGTGTCTTCTTCGCCTTCAATGTCTTTGGGTTTGCTGGTGAATGAAAGCGTCCTCGAAGTCCAGCCCGACAGTGTGAACGACTGCAAAGATATTATCCGACCGGATGAGCCAGACCAGCAGACGAAGCATAAGGCGTATCTGTGGTGTAGAGAATTCCTCCACGGAGCCTGGAAATCCATTGATGAAGAGGATTTTCAAATCTCAATCATCAGGTATTCTGCTTTAGGGGACTAAGAAATAATTAGGCAGGCGATTATGTTTCTCTTTGTGTCATAAATGGTTTTGGGAAGTATTTGGAAATGTTCCCAGATGATTTGGTAACGTTACTGTACGTTACGCGGTTATCATGAGGTGATTGCTCAATCTTACAGTCATGTGTTTCCATGACCACGACTGACTACCTTTGTTTATCAGCATAACGTTTCTTTCTGGAAAGCCTAATAACTAATATTATATTTAACCGAAGAGTTATATTTAATTTTAAATGTACATTTGTTTTTATATTTAGGTGTGAGTCATCTAATAAAGCATACATGTTCTCTATCTCCATTTCCCTGCTGAAAATAAACAGCATATAAGGTATGTTTTGATACTGGCATGCTTGGTCTTGCTGGCTTCAATGCTGGTTTTGCTGATTTCGATGCTGATTTCAGCATACCAGTATCAAATTATGTACCTTACCAGGATATGCAGTTTTTTCAGCAGAAAAAAAAGATTTTCAGTAACATTTTTGGCATTACTAACAGAGAAAATATTTGGAAGCAGTTACAAAGTCTCATTTTCCTCCCCCACTTGTTAATTCAAGTTTATCAGCATCACATTTCTTCTTTTAAGTAGCTTGTGATGTTAAATAAATCTGTAAAATTATTTTTTGAAGCTTTTGTGATATCATCTGTCTGCTAATTAATTCAAAATTATTATTATTTTTATAATTTTTTTAGAGGAGGCCTGAGCAACAAACTGTTCCTCTGCGCTTTGCCAGAGATGCAAGCAAGCCTTGGAGATGAACCACGAAATGTGCTCCTTCGCCTATATGGAGAAATTCTGCAGGTGTTTTTTTATTTATATTTTTATTTCGCTTTTTTACAATGTTAAAGTTTGAATTCAATGTCATGTTGCATAGTCAAGTCTACTTTAATGTCTAATAGTGTGCAGTAACATTCTTGATGTATAGATATTTAATTGCATTTTAAAACATTTATCCACCTAAGATCCATTAAGACCTCAGTCTTAAAG